GGGGGGTAGGGTAGGGGGTGGCAGTGGTGAAGGTCCCAGGTCTCCCCAACCAGAGCAGAGGCCCCACACCAGCTGGACTCTGGGTTTCTCCCTCGTCCCCCTGGACTTCGTGAGCTGCTCCCCAACATAGGGCCACACAGGACTAGGAGCCCCCTGCCTGGGACCCCTCACCCTCCGAGGTGCTGCCGAGGACACGGGTGTCTCTGAAGGGGCCAGGTGCACACCCACCGTTCACTCTTGAGCTGGGCCAAACGTCTTCTGACATCATCCACGGTCACTTCGAAGAACTCGTCAGGCAGCTCCGCAGGCCAGGCCTGGAGCAGCACTTCCAGGTCAGGGTGGCACACCACGGGGTCTCGGTCCACTGGCTAGGCAGGCAGAGGGCTCAGCTGATGCAAGTCCCGGGAAGGGCCCAGGCTCCCGACCCCAGGGGGCTGGGGTGGCCATGCAGACCCCGGCTGAGCCATGTGCTGCCGGCCCCGCCTGTTAGCCCATGGCCAGGGCCGGGTCTCCATGATGGGGCATGGGACAGCCGAGCCTGTCCAGGACTGGAGCCCCTCCCACCATGCCTGCCTGCTTAGCAACACTGAGACCCTCACTCACCAACAGGGCACATGGCCCTGGGGTCTTGGCTTAGCCAGGTCAGCTGGCACCCTGACTGCTGGGGGGGGTACTTGGGCAGTGGGTGAACAGCAGCATCTCTGTTCACTTCCTGTCTCCGTAGGGGCTCCCCATGAGCCCCAGGGAGCTACCTGTTACCAGGGTCTCCCAAGGGGGGAACAAACTTGGGGAGCAGTGCCCTGGTCACGGCCATGTCAGCGGTTCCACGGGAAGGGCAGGAGAAGTGACAGCCCCCAAATTAGAGATTTGGCAAAAACCTGCCAGCTGCTGGCCCCATGGCCAGGCTGACCCCTCCTCCCTTCTCTGGGGCAGCAGCTGGCCCCACTCTCTGCCCACCGTGGGGACACAGGGAGGGACAGCGTCTCTCCTAATTGGCAGCAACAGAGAAAAATTATAAGGCAGGGCCTGCTCTGCTCGCAGTGCCTCCGGTGGGTAATTGTAGCGAGTGTAGCCCAAGTGACTATGTGGGGAGACACCTTCGTGGCGCTGAGGCCACCCATGGAGCCGGGCCTGACAGAGGTGTCCAGCTGCGCCGGCAGGGCCCATGCCAGGTCCTGCCCTCCCTCGCACAGAACATCCACAAGCCGTCTGGGGTGAGGTCACTTCTCTGCCTTCTGCTCCCGCCTGCCCCCTCCTCCCTGCCCCAGACCTCCTGCCTTCAACACTCAGAGCCAGGCTCGGCAGGCTTCTCCGATCATCCCTTCCTACGCTCCAGCCTGACCACAGCCCCACCCACTCTAGAGGTCAGACTCACCAGCCTGGGGCTGGTCGAGGGCTAAAGCTACCCAGTGCACCTACCAGGTGTCCCAGGGCTGCTCCCCCAGCCACACCCAAGGCCTTGACTGCCCAGGCCAGCAGGTCTCTGCCATTCCTGAGTGCACAACAGCGTCACTCCTCGTAATGAAGGGAGGTGGGTTCTTGCCAGGAAGCCCCACTGATCTCAAGGCACTGTGGCAGGGTGGCCAGGAAGGGCTGGCTGACACCTGGGCAGCGGGGTCCGTAGGTGGCTGATCGAGGCCCCTGGGGGCTTCCCCCTCAAAGCCACAACCTTCCTGCAGCCCACAGGCAGTCCACGCCAGAGCTTTTTATAACAAGATGCCAGGCTGCCCCCCATAGCCACGGCGCCTGCATTCCAGAAGGGCCGAGCACTCGCCTGGGCTCCTGGGGGAGGGCGAGGGCAGATGTGGATGTGCCTGAGCTGGGCACCGCCGTGTCCACGAGTGCCAGGCCCCCTGGCGCTCGAGCACAAAGCCCACAAGCCAACGAGCAAGCTCTGGGACCTCCCTGTCCCAGTCCCGCCCTCCGAGGACCCAGTTCTGGACACATGAGTCACCCTGAGAATCCAGCAATTGGGTGACTTGTGATCCATGGCCTGGAGCTGAGCCTGACCATCAGACAGGCCCCCTGATCCCCGGGGGGGCACGGCTGGGGAAGCCCGACCCTGGGTGCACGGGGCCACTCCGGCCCCCTTGTCCTCCTGGGTACTTCCAGTGCACAGCCCAGGGGGTAACCTGGAGGACTGCAGACTGCTAGCACTTCCCACAACCCTCCCACAACTTCCAGAACAGGGACGCAGGTGACACCAGCTGCTGGCTTCATGCTGCTCAGGGGCCACCGACTTTCAGCCAGAAAGTGAGCAGAAAAATCTCTCTCTGCGTTGGATCTACCCTCGATTCACACCCCTCCTCCCATGCCTCAGCTCTGCTCCAGAAGCCCGTTTGTCTGTCCAAGAGCAGCCAGGAGCCGGGGTCCCACACGGGAACCAGAGCACTGGGAGAGAGCCACCTCGAGATCCCACTCTCTCATTCTCCTGCACCGCCCTGGGTCTTGGGGACCTCCCTGTTCCTGGGCAGAGGAGCCAGGGTTCCGAGCAGCCTCTGCTGCCCATCAGAGCCCAGGGGCCAGACCACCCAAGTCCCAGAGCTGCCGCCACGACCGGACCCCAGGCGGTCCCTGTCCCATGAGAACAGTGGATATCCATGGCTGGGCTGGTAGGACGGACCACCCTGTCCTACCAAATGACCGAGGGAGAAGCCGGGGGGCTTCAAACACCTCCACGAGGCCTGCCCAGCAGATATTTCCACCACAAAGAGGAGAGAGACCATGAAAGGAGGAGTGGGTCTGACCACTCCACGTGGGAGGAAGCAGGGCAGACACGGCGCCAGCAGAGGCCAAGCCCTGGCCCTGCTCACTTCCAATGCTCTGCCGGCAATCTAGCCCTCATTTGCTGTTCCTTTACCCGCCGCTCCTTAGTCATGGGCAGTTATCATGCACAGCTCCCATCCTAGGTGGATTTATGGAGATGTTTTTGGATGGAGAATAGAGATCTAGGATGAGACACCACTAAGAAAAACAAAAAAACAAAAAACGCATACAGTGGCCACTGTCAGAGGGCCTCAGTGCCCTCACCATGGGGACTGGGTTCCTGTGTGCTGGCCGAGGGATGGACACAGCCCCAGGGTCCAGGATGGGCCTCCAAGATGAACCTCCCAGTTGGTGCCCGAGGATGCTGGTGGGGTGGCAGGCCTAGAACCTTCCCAGCGCACCTGACAGCTGGCCCACCTGACAGCCCAAATCTCCAGGTCTGCTCCTCCAGATCCTACCAGGGAGCCACTCAGAGGATGCTCCTCCACTAAGAACCCAATGTCACCAGGCCTGGGTCATCCTGCCAAAGTCGCAGGTTTTCCATCATCAGCTCAAGGTCCAGCTCCTGAACGCTGTCAGTGTCCAGAGCACAGCCCCGGCCCCGTCTCCCGCCGCCCCCACCCCCTAACCCCAGGAAAGCCAGAGGAGCCGGTCCCTCCCCCAGTGGCCCCGACGCTACGGGCATCTCACTGTCGGCTAGAAGATGGGCAGAATGAGGAGGAGGCAGCCAGAGCCTGGGGTCTGAGCCCATGGGGCAGGGGGGGCCTACATGACAGCGCATGACAGATGAGAAAACAGGCACGGGCACTATCCTGAGGGGAGGAACGGCAGGTGCCTGCAGGCTCCAAGGGCGGAGCCACAAGAGACCTGATCCTTCTGGTGGAACACCCAGCAGGGGTCTCTCATTTCCTGCAAGCACACGACCCCTGTCCCAGCCTCCACCGAGGGTATTAAGACAAGAGAACACCCAGAAGACCAGAAAGGAGGGAGGTGGACGGAGAGAGCAGACGAGTCAGGCTGTCTGCGAACTGGAGGATATTGGCTAGGGGCCCAGAGGGCACTTGGGAGGGAAAGGATCCTCCAGAGGTGGGGGAACAGGAGCACCCTCTGTGGGTGACATTCAGAGGAGGCCCTGGGTGACGGCCTGAGGCTGCAGACACTGGACTGACTCCTGGGCCACTCAGCCATGGGGACTTGGGGACCCGCCACCAGCTGTGGACGGCCACCAGTGCCTTCAGGAAGAGCCTCTGTCACACAAGGATGGACCCTTCGAGGGAGACCCGAGGGGAGGAAGGTGTGAGGGAACTGCCTACCCTCAGCCCCATGCCACAGGCAGTCAGAGGCCAGGCCTGGAGGGGACCAGGGGACAGAGCTCTGGGCTGAGACGTGGGCCCACGGCTTCCCCCAACAGCCAGAAGACATGCTCCAGTGGCCGCCACACGAGTGGCTGAGAACCCACTTGGGCACACAGGGGTCTCCTCATGTCAAAAGCGGCCTCACTGCCTGCTGAGGTTTCATTTTCTTGACAGTAATTTTCTAGGACATGATGACACAGGGAGAAAAAATGTAAAAACTATTTGGAGGTGACCTCAACCCCAGATTTTCCAGCTTCCCTGTGAGGGCTCTTGTTTTCCTCCCGCCCTCCCGCCTCCCTCTTACCCAGACTGTCCTCTGACAATGGTTTTTGGTAACAGGGAATGTGAAGCGTTTCCCTTTGAGGCTTGGAGCTGAAATGAAACACTACGCAGGAGGAAGGCAGGCCAAGCCTCCGTCACTCTCAGAGCCGGCCGCCTTCTGGAGGGAGCAACATGCCAGCACGAGGCCGGGCCTGACCAGCAAGGCTGCAATGAACTCCAGCCCCTCATCCGCTGGGCCTGCCAGCGGCACAGGTGGAGGCCGCGCCTGCCCCAGCCCTGGGCCAACATCCACACCTGGGCCTGCCCGCCTTCCAAGCAGGAAAAGTGAGAGCATCTTTGAGAAGAAACACTGGGCTGCGACAGTGACGCAGGCACACTTTGAAACCCGGTGGCTCCATGCCCTGGCGTGGCCCCACCTGTCTGTGCACGCAGTGCATGAACCCCCAAAGGACTGAAATAAGCAAATGTAAGGCATGGGGTGGCTCTCCTCATGCACAGGGGAAGATGCCTGCTCCAGGCCAGCAAACCCAGGGGTGGACGCACACAGCAGACCAAAGGGCCAGGAGAAACCCCGCAGAGGGAGCCCCTTGAGCCCGATCAGGATGGGGGCCTGCAAACGAGGCTGCCTGGCCCTGCGGGCAGCTCTGGAGTTCCAGGGGGTACTCTGACAGCCGGGGCGCCCTGCCTACCGGTTCTCCATGGCTTCGCAGGTTGGGCATCTGTCTCTCCCCCAAGTCCAGTCATGGTTGAGACACAGCATGACAAGGACAGCTGGAGGGCACCTGCCTGTCACCAGGCTTTAAAAACCGCCTCAAGACTCAGTTGGGGGGCTTCCCGGGTGGCACAGTGGTTGAGAGTCCGCCTGCCGATGCAGGGGACACGGGTTCGTGCCCCGGTCCGGGGAGATCCCACATGCCGCGAAGCAGTTGGGCCCGTGAGCCATGGCCGCTGAGCCTGCGCATCCGGAGCCTGTGCTCCGCAACGGGAGAGGCCACAACAGCGAGAGGCCCGCATACCACAAAAAAAAAACCAAAACAAAACAAAACAAAAAAACCTAGCAAACCTCAAAGGGCACCCAAGTTAAGGCCAAGGCCGGAGCCCCGGGACTGTCCACAACACTGGCAGGGCAGGGACAGGCTCACAGCGCGCCCTGGGCCCACACACGGGGGGCCGCGGGCTGTGCTCCTGGGGGCATGTCGTGGACAGGCACCCCGGGCCAAGAGGAAGAGGGTGGCACTGCTCTCGGTCCACCCCAGGCCCCAGGTCCTGGCCAGGCTCCCCCCAGCCCTGCGTGTTCTAAACCTTCCCGTAAACCGGGGACAGCCAGAGAAGCTAACGCCTGCCCTGAGACATGGGTGCAAGGTGTGGAGTAAGCCCCCGGGGCCATGTCTTCAGGAGATGAGACCATCCCCTGGAGGGTGAGGGGCAGGCAGGGGAGACTGCAGTCAGCCTGCCCTTCCCAGGGGGTTGGGGCCTTTGATCACGAACCCCTGTGCCAGCTGCGTGGGGGGACGCCGGCTGGGAGCACAGCCCAGCAGCACAAAGAGCTGCGGGGCAGCCTCCTGGGCCAGCGGAAGGACTTCAAAGGACAGGCCAGGGGCCGCCGGGCAGCCCCAGCCTCTCTCCGCACTTGGTTCTGACGGCCAGTAAAACTACCTTCTAATAATTAATGTTCTGACATCAAAGGCAGGAGCCGCCCGGGTCTGTAAACCATCCTGGGCCTCAGCCGAGGACCTGCCTGTATTTCATCCTGTCTCTTCTGACTCTTCATTCAAATCCAAAACCACACACAGGCAAAACATTAATGGGAAACTTGGAAACTCTTTTTGATTACTAAAGTGTACCTTTGAAGTTCCCCCAAAAGTTCTGATTTGTTCCCTTCTCCCCTCCCCCAGGACTCGAGGGGACACAAAGCAGACAGCATGTGGCCAGCCGGGCCTCCGGGTGCACGGCTGTCAGTGTGACAGGAGGCGCGAGGCAGGCGGCGGGGGGACGCTCCACAATCAACCAGCTGCTGGGGCTCCCAGATCAAAGACACGCACTGCTGGCGGCCAGGCGGACCCTCCCCAGGACTCCTCCTTCCTGGGGCCCCTGGGGTCAGCGCTCGGGGATGCACTGGGATCCTGCGCCTGACAGCAACCACCTCTCAGGCTGACACCAGACCAGGCCACTCCCCACACAGCCCTGGGGAGTCAGCAGGTTCCCAAGAGATGCAGAGAGCCACAGCCTTTAGGGTGGGAGAAGGAGACAGCCAGCCCCGGTACTAGTTTTCTGGCCCCCAAACCTAGGGGTCCCCAGAAAGAGCAGGCCCGAAGGGAGTCGGGCCCCCAGCCCTGGCTCACCCCAACCACAAGGCTCTGCTTTCGAAAGCTGATTCTGGGCCCAGGTGACGAGCCTGTGAGACTGGGGGCTTCGTACTAGTGTCTAATGCAGCCCAGACATCAGCGTAGAAGCCAGTGGGGTCCCTGAAGAGCCAGGGCACCACCACCACCTCTCCAGGACGGACATTCACGGGGCTTGGGACTGGCTCAGTTCCCCTCCCTTCCCCCATCCATTCAGCAAGGACACACAAAGCGTGGTTCAGGAAGCAGGAGGAAGCCCCCGCCGCCTGCCCCTCTGCAGGAACTTGGGCTCTGTCCCACTGCTGAGCCTCCGCACAGCCCACCCCGTGCAGGCACAGGTGCCCCTGTCCCTCCACCCTCCCCTTCAGGTATGTGACCTGAAAGCAAGAGTGAGGAGGGTGCTCTAGAAGAGACAGGATGCAGGCTCCAGCACTAAAATATTAGTTAACAGCAACTCAGAGTGTAGCTAAACACATCACTGAAACTGGACTGACCCCTGGAATGCAAGGATAGCTTCATGGGGGAAATCCATCCAAAACCTCAGTATGCAAACGAACTAAATGAGAGCGAAGGCATGGAATCACCTCAATGCGGGAAAAGCAGTTCATAAAGCACCACTCTTGGGCTTCCCTGGTGGCGCAGTGGTTGAGAGTCTGCCTGCCGATGCAGGGGGCATGGGTTCGTGCCCCGGTCCAGGAAGATCCCACATGCCGCTGTGCGGCTGGGCCCGTGAGCCATGGCCGCTGAGTCTGCGCTGCACAACGGGAGAGGCCACAACAGTGAGAGGCCCGCATACCGCAAAAAAAAAAACCACCACTCTTACTTTTGATAAAGAAAAATTCTCAGAGAATTAGGAATAGAAACTCTTGATTTGATAAAGACTTTTCACAGCCTGCAGCATCTTTCACAGATAAACTAAGATTACTCCGTGTGAGATCAAGGTCAAGACAAGGATGCCCACTAAATCTGCTGCTATTCAACAGATACCAGAGACTCAATCACTGCAATACGGACAAGAAAAAAAATGAGAGAAGGACATCAAGGAAAAAGATAAACTGACATTATCTGCAGACTCCAGCTGAAAATGAGAAACTGCTGGAACCAGTAAAGCAAGTGAGCAAGGCTGCTGGGTATAAAAACCAGCAGCATCCACTGCCCGGGTGGAGCCTCACCATTCTCACTCCACAAGCTCCTGCTCCAGGCAGGGAATCCTGCAATGGCTCTCCATCGTCTGGAAAGGTGATTTGTAAAAAGGAATTGGTTTCAGCAGTGGCATCCTTCTCATCACTTAAAACCTCAAGTGGACCCTGAGCGTTGGCACATGGAGCCACTCTGGCTGGAAGGAAGGGCAGAAGAGAGCAGAGAACCTGAAGCCCTCACTCAGAAGGCACAGCTGCGTCTCGAATAATGCCCACATGCACCTGTGCAGCCTCAAGGGCTCCACAGGTGACAACGTGCAGCCCAGGCTGGAAACCCAGGCTGGCCCCACCGTAAGGTCTCTTTATTTGGAAAGACCCTCTCCAGCCACAAGCCAGAGACCTAAGCTGGACTCTGGATGAATGCCTGAGCCTCCCCGGGGGCCAACCCCAAGAGGCAGGGGGCCCAGCACAGCGCAGGAGCCCAAAACGTTGGGAAATCTACAACACGCCTTTCCTGAAAACAGTCTGTGAGCGCTGCTGAGGGAGCAGTCACACAGAGGGACACAAAGAAGCCTACGGGGGCTTCCCTGGTGGCACAGTGGTTGAGAGTCCGCCTGCCGATGCAGGGGACACGGGTTCGTGCCCCAGTCCGGGAGGATCCCACATGCCACGGGGTGGCTGGGCCCGTGAGCCATGGCCACTGAGCCTGCACATCCGGAGCCTGCGCTCCGCAAAGGGAGAGGCCACAACAGTAAGAGGCCTGCGTACCACAAAAAAAAAAAAAAAGAAGAAGCCTATGGAAGCTCTGCCGTACGACTCATGAAAGCCCTACTGGAGAAAGTCCCAGAGGCGCTCCAAGGAGAAAGTCCTGCCCTGGTGCCAAGCTTGAGCACCAACCCGACAGGGGCCACGCCTGTCCTCCCTCTTAGGAGCTCCAACACAGCTGCAACTGCCCTGGGAGAGGCTGGCCTGACCCACAGAAGACCAGAGATGGCCTCCATCAGACAGCGGGGAGGCAGACACTGGCCACACGCCTGACTTCTGCAGAGGTGCCGCCCACCTGGGGGTCCTCTTGTTCAGCGTGATCCAAGATGCAAGGCCCCTTCCACCCCTCATGTCTGTGTGTGGTCAGAGCAGGGGACGGGGGCGGGCATCACTGTGGGGGAGGATGTGAGACTAGGGCACAGCTCAAAGGTGCCCAAAGACAGATTCAACATCGAGAAGACAAAAAGCCTAACACTGCCCTGATGGTAGGTGTCTATTAAGTCGTACCTCAATAGAGCTGATCAGACTAGAAGACAGCGTCACAGAGGCAACCCAGGGCCTGCGCCGTTTCATCACAGCTCCGTGAGGGCTGCATGCCCTCCTCCCAGCCATGGCTCAGATGGCCGCCAGGAACTTCCAAGAAGTCCCCACCAGAGACGTCCAAGGCCCCACCCACAAGCTTGTGAATGGTGAGCAAACTCACCCTCTTCTGCCTGTTTGGCACATGCCCCACATGCCCACTGGCCAGCGGTGGGACGTAGCACGTGAGCTGTGGCACACCTGGCTCAGGAGTCAATGTGGCGTGGGACAATCAAGGCCAAACCATCTTCACGTCAAAAGCTAGTCAAACCCACCAGCCCAGGAGAAGGTGGAGGCGCCAAGTCCAAGGCTCTGGGAAGGATGGCTCTCTTGGCTGTGACATGGCCAGCCAAGACACACAGGTTTGTCAAAACCCATCAACTGCACGTCTAAAATGGTGCCTCAAGAAAGCTGATTTCAGGCAAAACAAAACCAAAAAATCGCTTCCCTGGGAAGATGAAACCACACCCAGCGACCCTGCTGCACCCTGGGCTGACCAGCCACGAGGTCAGGTGCAGTTAAGAGAAAGGACCCCAGCGCCCAGCTCGACCCTTACCAGCTCCGGCTCCGGCTGGGGCTCCTGGCCAGGCCTCGACTTCTTTGGCTGGGAGGGGCCTGCAGGGCTGGAGAAGGACTTTGGCAGTTTGGCTGAAGATGACATCAGAGGCCTCACGGACCCGGAGGGGCCCCCCAGTCGCTGTCCCCCACCCGAGAAAGGAACAAAGGGGGCTGGTGTGGGCTCCTTCGAGATCTGCTTCGCCTGAGAATCCACAGGCTTCAGGCCCAGGCCATCCACGCGGCCAGCCCCTGGGCTCGCTGCCTCATCCTGATGGCTCACATCACCCTGGCTGAGCTCCGCTGAATTCAGGGGAAACAGAGGGCTGCTGGCTGCCTGGTCGGCCGACAAGGAAGGAGTCGGGCTTCCTGGGCTTTTGCTCCAGGAGACCCCAGGCTCCTGCTTGCCAGTGGAATCATGTCTCTTCATGGAAAACCTGAGTGGGTAGGCCCGGAAAGCAAATGAAACTCTATACACAGAGCCCCATGTCTCACAGTGCTAGCATCGTACCTTCTGGTGACTACCAAACCAAATCCAATCCCCTGAAGGCCCCCCACAGCCCTTCCCGACCCGCCTCAGCTCACGGGGGAAGAAGCGTGCATGGGGCCGCCACGCCAGCCCGGCTGAGGGCAGATCCCCCACCTGACGCTGTGCCCCACGGTGCCCAGCCCCCACAGGCTGCAGGTGGGAGAAGTGACCGGCAAGGGTCTGGGCTTCCCCATGTTTCCTGTTTCCTTTCCCTTGAGACCACAGTTTTCTTCACTAAACCAGACTCAGAGACCCCCCACCTGATGATGGCACTGCCCCCGGTGAGGCCCAGTGACTGCAGCGTCGTGCTCTGCAAGGCGGCTCTACCGGTCACCTGTGAGGAGGGAACAGGACATCCTGCTGACCCCTCGCTGCCTCCCCCAGCCTGGGCACTGTGTCACCAGCACTATGGGGTCCCCCAGCCAGCCACAGCTCCCAAAAGGCCTGGGTCCAGCCCCCTGCACCCCAATCTACACCCGAGCATTTGTTCGCTGGTCCACGTCTGTCTCCCCAACCCCACCCCATCCGAGATCTGGGTGGGCAGGGCTCAGGCCGAGGTTAGGCACCTCTGGCCAGCTAACCAGCCCTCTGAGGGCTGGAGCTGATCCAGGCCCAGGTGCCTGAGGCCTAGTGGTCTGTCTCCTCCAGGGGAGGACCCATACCCCAGGTCCCTCCCGCTCACAGCCCTGGAACCCCTGCCCCACTGAGCCCTGGGTCAGGAACCTCAAACTAGGATAAATAGGTGGGTATGCCCTGTCTACACCAGGGGCCCCTCGGGGACAGTGGCCACCCCAGGCCAGGAAAGGGCGCTTGGCCAGGGTTGAAACAAAAAGCCCCTGTGAGCCAGGGGACAAGCGCCAAGAGGGTCCCCCGTCAGGGTCAGGAACCTCAAACTAGGATAAATAGGTGGGTATGCCCTGTCTACACCAGGGGCCCCTCGGGGACAGTGGCCACCCCAGGCCAGGAAAGGGCGCTTGGCCAGGGTTGAAACAAAAAGCCCCTGTGAGCCAGGGGACAAGCGCCAGGAGGGTCCCCCGTCATGGGCGGGCGGGCGGGGACAGGCAGGGCCTCAGTGCCAGGCCAAGCCTGCACCACACCACACTCGGTTTTGAAAAAGATCAAAACTTTGAGCAAAGCAAATATTTATTAAAATGAAACCACTTTTGTGACTCTTGGGCTTTGAGAAGCTGAGAAAACAAACAGGGCTCTGAGGGAGGTTTGGGAGCAGCCCGGGCGGCCCGCAGTTGGTTCCAGCGGAGCCGGCGTCCTGCCTTTTTTCCATGAAACACATCACGCTTTCAGGGCCCAAGTCTGCCCATCGCTGCTTTGAAAGGTCTAAAGGAGTGAATTTTCCAGATTGGAAAGTGGGGCTGGGCCCGTGTGGCGGCTGGGAGTGGGTGGCAGGGCGCGGGCCAGGCGGGTGGGCCCACAGCTCACCTACCTCATCTCTCATGTACACGCAGACGGGGCTGGCCTCACACGGCCGGTCCAGACACTCCCTGAGAGGGGAGGGAAGAAAGCATCACAGGTAGCCACTGCGTGGGGACACTGCTGCCCTGGGGACAGCACCCTGGCCAGCCACTGTGGGGGACCCGCCCACCCTGGCCACCCTGGCCACCCCACGGCTGGCCATCAGCCCATGGCCTGGGGGTGTCTCCCACCTGCCCACGGCCTCCCGGCTCAGAGCAAAGGGAGGACACAGAACACGGGGATGGGCAGCACCAGCCACCTCCTGGACGTGCCTTGGGTTGCTGTCAACTGTGCCCAGAGTCGGCGATGAGAAAGTCCTGGGAGGGCATGATCTGGGCCTTTATCTGAAGCTGTCCCCTGAGAAGGTTGCTGCCCCCAGAAGCACCAGGAGCACTTGGCATGGATCTATCACACAGACTCCGAGGAGAGAGTGGGGCAATGCCAGGACAAACAGGGAGGTGGGCAGCAGGCCCAGCCACCAACGCCCCTCCCCTATAAACCAGACCCTGAGATGGGAGGGAAGGGCCCCCAGGAAGCACAGCTGGGCAGGCTGGAGGATGGCAGGCATGCAGGCGCACAATCGCACACACACCCTCAGGATGGCCGACACCACTCACACAGGCCTGTACCCTCGACAGCTGTACCACACAGGCCTGTGACGATCAAGGGAGGTTTATTTCTGCATTTCCTGACACATACCCGTAGAACTAACCCCCAAATAAACGCGTGCCCCAGGCCTATCAGCAGTGCCCCAGGCCTGACCCTCTCCTCCGGGAAGGGTGACACAAGGCATTGCGCCTGCCAGAGTAGGAGGCCTGGAGCGCCCTCAGGCAGTGCAGTGCTGCCCTGCCGGAGCCCAGGGCTCAGACAAGGAGGTAGCTGGGATGGGAGACACAGAGGCTGAGCTGGTGACTGTACACAGACACTCGGACACTCGGCTGCCTGGGCCCGTCCCCGAGACCCGTGACACTGTCCTCTGCTCAGGTTCAGCATGTTTTCTCCCGTCTCTCTTGTTTGCTTTCAGTTTATGCTTTTGCATATTCCTCAGGGCTGAGACACTCAAGCTAATCCAGAGCCTGCCGTGGGGGCCCCTGAAAGAGGTCCCTGGCCACCTCCCACAGGCTGCCGGTCCCCATGGAGCTCACCCCGGGCTCTCCCCAAGGCTGTGCTCACAAAGAAGCTGCTCCCCAGGGAAGGCTTCCAGCCCTCGACCAGAGCCTCATGGGGGCCGGCCATGGCGGGTGTGACCCCGCACACACAGCGTGGCCAGGCCTCAGGAAAACACGAGACCCCAAAGTGCCAGAGAGACAACCCTGACCAGGCCTACACGCTCTTCATCCTGAAGCCAAAACAGAGAAAGAGTGAGGGAAGATACTCCAGCAAACAAGATCCCAAGGCAAGAGAGGAGGAAGGCGGTGGGGAGACACAGGGGTCCTGCTCCTTTCAATAGCAACAGAGAAAGCAGCTGCCTGGGCTCAGAAAGCAAGCTGACTGCCCACCACGAGACAGGCAGAGTCCCCTCTGCTCTCAGGGGCTCTGGCCAGGCGTCCTCCCTCGAAATCCTTGTCCAGGGCACCCGATGCCAGCGTGGGGACCACAAATCACAAACAGGGACGAGAGCACAGCAGCACCCGGGAAGGCCTGCCTGCCTGCTGCCCTCGGAGGCCCCTGGACATCAAACAGCAGCTCAGCTTTGATGTCGGCTCCTCCAGAGGGATCGGATTCCCGCGTGTGGGATCTGAGGAGAGGCCTGTAAACACGCCGAGGGGAGGGGCAGCTGAGATCACTTCCAGACTTTCCTGGCCAATTAACAGCACTCTCCCATCCGGCCGAGGACAGTGGACCAGAAGGTTCCAGCTCAACGGAGAGCCGAAGCCACCACTCCCTGCAACAGACATTGCTGAAGTTCCACGTGTCTCAGGGAGCCTAGAGGGGACCTCCTGGTGACCCTTGTGCCCCTGGACCTGCTCCCACTCCCCAGCCCAGGCAGAGCCACTGGACGCCACTTGGCCCAAGGGATGATGCGGGGGAGGAGTGGCAGGATCTCACTCTATCTAAGGCCGGCACACCTGCTCTCGGGGCCAGGCCTGGGGCCAGCAGGGTCAGCCAGGCAGGGCAAAGGCGCTGCTGCTGCTGTGTTCTTCAACCACCATGGAGAGTGTCACCCCATAGACATGGGCCATCCGCCCACCCAGATGGCTCCTGGTAGGGCTCGCAGGGAGGTGATGCTGTGAACTGGGGGCAAGGCAGGCATCTGGAGCCCCTTCTGTTTTTGTCACCTGTTTGGGCCTGACCAAGCTGGGGTGGTACAAACTCAGGTGCCACCGACACAAGCCTGACACCACAGTGCTCCCACACAAGAACAACCAAGGGCTTCCCTGGTGGCACAGTGGTTGAGAGTCCACCTGCCGATGCAGGGGACACGGGTTCGTGCCCCGGTCTGGGAGGATCCCACATGCCGCGGAGCGGCTGGGCCAGTGAGCCATGGCCACTGAGCCTGCGCGTCCGGAGCCTGTGCCCCGCAACGGGAGAGGCCACAGCAGTGAGAGGCCTGCGTACCGCAAAAAAAAAAAAAAAGAACCACCAAAACTGACAAAAACCAACTGAAACTAACAGAGCTGTGACTTCAGGTTCAGAGGGGTCCCTGCTGCCACAAGGAAGCCCAGAGTGGGTGAGGCCACATCCCAAGGGGCCAGGTGACTCACATCCACCACCACCCAGCAGTCCAGCCCACAAAGAGATGAGGCTGTGGCCAGAGGGAGCAAGGACTCGGCTGAATCACAGAGACTCCTCCTCCAGGGCAGACGGAGTGGGGAGTTGCAGGGGGAAGGCAGCCTCTGGCCTTCCCAAACAAGACGGGGGGTGGGGAGGTGCTGCGCGAGAGCCCTGAATCTAGGCCTCTGGCTGCCCGCCCACAAGGCTCTGGGTCTGGGCACAGCATGACCACAGGCCAGCCCCCAACCTCAGGGGCAGCCCCTCCCTGCAGCCCGCTGTGCCCTGGGGGCCCTACAACCCTGAGAGAACAGGCAGACACCTGCCTTTCCCAGGGACACTCGACTCCCTGCTTTTACTATCCACGGGATGAACACGGCTGAGATGGACCAGTGGGCTTGGCTGTGAAATCAGGCCAGGTGTAGAGGGGCAACGGGCTTCAGGGAAGAATCCAGCCTGGCATGGCATGCCTGGAGCCCTCCCTGCAGCAGATGCCCGAGAAGCAGAGAGGAGGACGGGCCAGCCCACATGGAGCCAGTGCCATCCATGGCGGCTACCCGTCCACACGGGTGCTGAGCACGCGCAGGGCAGCTGGCCCAGAAGGAGGCCAGCTCCAAGTGTGAGACACACCGGATTTCAAAGACCTCCTACCAACAAAGAATGTAAAATATCTCCTTTTTCCTGTTGATTACATGTTCTGAGAATATTTTGGATATATTGAGTCAAGTTAATTATATTCCTAAAATTAATTACACCTGTTTTTACTTTCCTTTGATGTGGCTACCAGAAAATTCTGAATTACCTCCATGTCCCGCACATGTGGCCCACATGGCATGTCCAGTGGACAGTTCATTGCTCCAGATGCTAGGGTCAGGGCCGGGCCACCATCCACCCTGATCCCCATGCATAGGACCTGCCACCTGACCAACAGTGGACCCAGGGTGCTGGGCTCATCTCCCACAGCTCCTGGCCATGCACGGCACCAGTTGTTCTGGGATGCTTACCGCTCCCAAAAGCATCAAGTGAGAAAAACCAACTTCCTACTTGTCCCACTCTGTGGGGACTTGGACACTTGGAATTCCCAGAGCTTCCCGCCCCCCGCCAGCAAGGGAGCTGCTGTGAGCCAGCCGGAGCTCCCTTGCCTCACCGGACCTGTCAGGCAGCTGCCCCCATGTTGGCAGGCCCTTGCAGTGGTGGGCAGCTGACGCAGCCCCTGCACAGCCCCAGCCCCGTTTTGCCAGCTCACTGGGCATCTGGCCACGGTGTTGGGGCTGAAGACGCAGCCCTCCCTCCCTCATCTGAACCTTGCTTCACGGTTAGGGAGTGCCAGCTTCCAAGGAAAGGCCCGGACCTGCACTTCTGGAGATGAAGCCTAGACAAGTCCCCATTTGCTAGGCCAGCAATTCTGCCTCCAGAGTAAATTCTCAGGGCAGAGTGGGGCACAGACCTCCAGCTGTCCACAGGATGGGCTGGGCACGCATGTGGACGCGCGCGCACACACACACAGGACAGGACTGCACAGCCACGGAAACGATGCTGAGGGCGTTTCCAAGAAAACACGCAACAGTCACAGCAAGAAAGAGAGGGTGCGTGCCATGCCGTGCTCAACGCTGCATGAGAGTCAAGAATTCGTCCCTGCGTGATGACCCCTCCCAGGGCCCACCTCCTCCTGATGTCACCTCGCTTCTTATGCCGCTGTCCCCACTGCCCCCACATTCTGTTTCTTGTATCTTAAACCCAGGTTACCGAGTCAGTCAGTCCTGAGAGGCTCGTGTGAACCAGTGTTCCCAGCACCTCAGCCTCTCCACAGAGGCAGCCCCCAGACCGCCCAGCCAACAACTCGAGGGCCAGATGGGAGCATCAGGCTTCATCATGACAGGGCGACCCTGGCTCCCCAGGCCAACAGCTGAGGAACCACCCAGTCTTCCCGGGGGGATGGACCCCATACCATGGAGCCCCGTCTCCTCCCTCTGGGTTACTCCTCCTTTTGGTGGTCACAGCCTAAGTGGGGGGCCTGGCAACACGGGCTCCCACCACGCCTGTGTCTGGGGCCCACTGACACTCAGGAGGCCCTCGTCAGCCCCCCACGCCCCTCGTCTGCCTGCGGGTGGACCTGCCCACCTGCCCTTTGGTGGAGCAGTTAGCAGCTTGCTCAGAGGGTGTGTGTGGTAAATGGGTAACCTTTGTGTCTAAAGATGGCTTTGTTTCATCCTCACCCTTCAACAATCTAGCAAAATAGAGAATTCTAGAACAAATGAATTTCCTACAGTATTCTGAAGGCTCTGCTTGGCCACCTTCCTGGTGGTGCCACAGGGAGCCTGAGGCCTTTGTGCAGGCCTGCTGTCCCTCTCTGAGCGTGGGGAACCATCCCATCATCTCCAGCTCCTGACGAGTTACAGTGATGCCACCAGATGAGGCCCCACTGGTACAGGCATAGCCAGCCTGTCACTCTGGAAACGCATGCCCTTCGGTTCCAGGACGGTTTCCCACCATCTTCACCAGCTTCCTCCTGTGCTTCTGCTTTATTTCTAGAGATGCAGTATCAGGAGCCAGCGGCCTGTCCTGTCCCGAGTCCCCTTCCTCTGGCCTCCATCCTGTGCTTGGCCGCCTGGCTCTGTGGCTCCTCCCAGAAGGAGGGATGGCAGGGACCCTGCACCCCAGGTCCAAGCATCGGCTCCCAAGCCTCGAGTGGCCGACCCCACGTGCCCTCAGGCATTTGCCACCTCAGAAAGAATACGCTCAGTCAGGCCGCAGACCAGCCAGTCACACCGGCTAACCCTCAGGCGTGTGAGTAGAACAGCATATCCTCAGGCCACCGGCCACTCCCAAACATGCGGCACCTTGTCATGTGTGACAGGGATTGTGCCGTTTGATCCATAGCTGGGGCTGACCCCTGCACCTTCCCGATCCGCTTCCAAGGGCTCTTCCTTATGTTTATTTATTTTTTTGTGTGGTACACAGGCCTCTCACTGTGTGGCCTCTCCTGTTGCGGAGATGCGCAGGCTCAGTGGCCATGGCTCACGGGACCAGCCGCTCCGCGGCATGTGGGATCCTCCCAGACCGGGGCACGAACCCGTATCCCCTGCATCGGCAGGCGGACTCTCAGCCACTGCGCCACCAGGGAAGCCCTTCCTTATCTTTGAATGTTTCTTTTTAATAGCATCCAGCTCCAGTTCCAACAGCCTCTCCATCCTCGGAGAACAGGAACAAATGCTGTCACCCGTCCTGACAGCTGCCATCTCTTCCTGTCTGTCTGCATTGGCTTCTCACGTCAGCCTTGCTCAAATGTCTGGGCACCCTTGGCTGTGGGCTCCTGTTTACGCCCAGGGCTCTGGCCGCAGTGCAGCTGGCTATCAGTATCCAGGTGGTGATCTGGGGAGCCACCCATGCCCCCAACATTGGGAGCTTCCACCATTTTGGGAGCCACATGGGGGCTACCCCGGTTCTCGGGACAGCAAGGGCATCCCCAGTCCAGAGAGCCTCACCCTACCCAGGGAACCACCTCTGGCACCAGCAGCATGGAGTGCGAGGGGATCTAGGACCCCATGTCATCCAGCACCTGCCCTGGCCACCCCCGCTGCCACTACTGGCCCCTTGTCACCCTCCCCACCCACGTCCAGGTGCTGTCACTGCCTCAGCTCCTGCTCTCTCCATCCTCCAGGCTGTATCTCTGTAAAGCCCTTTAATGGCGTTTTAGTTGCCTTTTGGGAGGGAGAAGAACCACACGCTGTGTTCCATGTGTTTCTCCTCTCCTTATTTCTGCCCCAGGGCCTTTGCACTTGCTGCCCCTTTGGCCCAGATGTCTCCTTCTCAGATCCTAGTGCAGCTGGCTCCTCCACGACCTTCCCCCACCACCTCCCAAGGCATCTTCCCTCCTTCTTTGTGATAGCTTCTGATAGTTTCTTCTGGTAGCTCTGTATACCTGCCTATTAGCTATGGGAGACCAGGACTAACTTCCTACTAGAGCCCCAGCCCAGCCTGTGCTGAATAAATGAAAGAACGAAGTAAAAACAGAGGCAGAGGCCCCATCTTTTCAGCAGCTGAGAAGGCAGGTGCTGGCAACCCAGGCCCTGGGCTTTGAGGAGCCCCCTCCTCCCCTGGGTCTCTGTTTCTTCTTCTGAAAACAAGGGTAACAGCAGCCTGACCCCCCCCCAGCTGACAGAGGAACCAGTCAGACAACAGGTGCCAAGAGCAGTAGAGTGAGGTGGCAGCCTGTGTACTCATCTTAGAAGCACTAATACTGTCAGAAGCCACCTGAGTGGGGGCACAGAGTTCTCTCAGGAGAGCATCTGGGTAGGAAGCAGAAGCTGGCTGCAGGGGCGGCATCCCCGGCTACCCAGAACCAGGCTCATAGGAGGGGAAGGGGCCAGCTGGTCTTGGCACAGCAGCCCACCGTGGCCTCGTCATAGAAAGAACTGGCAACAGGGGGACACCAGCACATCAGATACAGGGAGAGGAGTTCCATGGGAGCGGCTGAGGTGGGGGAGCAGGAATCTGGATGCTGGGACAGCAGGGGCAGTGGGTGCCACATCAGATCAGAGCAGGCTTTCCCAGAGGTCCTGTCACCATAATGACCCTACCCAGAGTCCCTTCTGCACAGACAAACCGTGGGCAAGGTCCTGTTCTCGGCACTTGAGACACATTAACTCATCTCATCCTCACATCACCCCTGGGAGGCCCAGAGAGGGCAAGCAACTTGCCCATGGCCACACAGCAACCACTACACCCTCCCACGGTCCCTTCCATTCCATTGGTTGAGACCTTTAAAAGTGGACAAAGTCTTCCATCCCACAATGAAAAACCAAAACTTAGAAGACTACCATTTTGACACACTCAGAAATAAAGTTTAAACCATTAATCACCAGATAGAAACTGACACATGTTAACTGTCATCAAGATGTTTTCTTTAAATACAGCCCATTCTCATGACAAGGAAGTTTTATACCTGCAGCATTTGTCAGCTGAGAAGCCCAGCACCCCACTTCTCCCCTGACTGCTCACCACACAGGTGGGGACCTCTTGGGTTTCCCACAAGATCTTCCAGAGGGCACGGCCTGGCTGTCATACCAGGACACCAAGTAAAAAAGATGAGCTACTGGTGACCAGCACCTGCTGGTATGAAGCCAAAGCAAAGCTCAGGCTTGTGGCTCTGGACTAGCCCCAGTGACCGTGGCAGCATCCCCAGGGCAGAGGGAGGCAGAGCCCCAAACCTGCTCACTGACACTTACCTGATCTGGGCAAAACGGCAGAGAAGCTCCCAGAGTGTCTGGCCTGAGCAGAAAGTGTCTTGCAACCTGGAGCCATCATCCAACTGCAGAGCAATGCGCACCTGAGAGGACGAGATACAGGAACCAAGTCAGGAAGAGGAGCAGCTGTCCCAGCTGGACCCCAGACCAGGTCTGATCCTTAGGGCACAGGCGGAGGGCATTGTGTTTGCTGAATTTTAGTAAGTGAGCACACTGCCTTACAGGATAATTTTAACAATTATCTCCCTAAACAGTGACTCAAGTCTATAACCCACAAGGGGGTAAATTCTCCTCTGGTCCCTCTGTTGAACAACAGACACACTAAAGCACGAGTGCAGAGACCCTAGGTAAGGACCTTGCACAGCCCCACCTGTCACAGCCCAGCGCGTGACTCTCTAGGTCATTGCTACTCCTGCCCTTCTAGCCAAGGGACTCCTCAAGGGCATGTTTATTTACATTAAATCCCAATAACAAACAAAGGCGGAACTGTTCTGTGGGAAACTGCGAGGGGGTCTCCAGCACACCCAAGGAACCCACAAGGGAAGTCAGGGTGCTTCCATGTGAAAGGCTGAGAACCACAACTGTAACGGAAAAAGAGGTGTATTAATAAGCTCAACCCCAGGCGCCTGACTCCTGGTGGGCTCTGGACAGAGAACTAACACCCCAGGGCCTGAGCCTCCTTGCCTCTCGACGTGGATGAAAACCACTTCCCTGCAGTGTTGGGAGAATTTGCAGTTTTGTATGTAAAGGACCCGCTTGTGCACAACAGAGCAGCTATCACCATGATTCTTGTGTCTATCCACAGTAACCCTAGTGTCATTCACTAAATCCCTAGGACATAAAAGTCACTGATTTGGTAGAAAGCAGTGGACTGCAGTCAGGAGACTCAGGCTGTGGTCTAGCCGAGACTGGTCAGAGGAAGCCTGCGCCCCTGAGCTGGGTGTCCTCGTCCCAGAAGTGAGGCTGCACTGGACACTGCAGAGTCCTGTGGGCTCTAAGACTCTTGGTGATTTTCTGACCAGAAACATCAGGTCGTATGGTGGATGCTACCAGCATGCTGATACGGACACAGCACAATTAACCGCCTCTCCGCCCCCCACCCCCAAAAAACATTCAGCGCAAAGAATGAAAAGTCTCATTTCCAATCATCAGCTTTTGGAGTAGAAAAGTGGCTCTGGCCTAACCTAGAGAAGGCAGTCTCACCTAAGGATGAGGACAAGTGCCTCGCCTGCACAGCCCTCTGAAACAGCCCACGCTCCACACCCCGTCTGCTCGGCCTGCTGATACATCCTGCGGCCCAAATGGTCTGAATGGAAGAGCCGGGAGGAGCAGTGAAGCCAGTCCCTCCTTGAGAGCCACCTACCATGTTCTCGGGCCCCTCGCGGCTCCGGGAGATGGGCACCATCTCCAGCTTGGCGTTATTGGGCAGATTGGCGAATCTCCACTGGAGAGAGAGGTCAAGCACATTCCTCTGAAACCTGCAAAACAGACCAAAGCCACAGGCTGCCCGCCGACCCGAACACAGCCCAGCCCTGCCGGGAGCATGGCACAAATAGAGTGACACCCACGTCGGGCTAGCAATTCCACAGCCCATGGCGCCAAGGCTGCAGGAACAGAGTGACGGCCGGCAAGCCTGCAGAGACAGGGTGGGTCCCTGACTCCAGCAGTGGGTCTTCCAAAGGAAAGAGAGAGTGAGCATTGATACAGTTCAGGCAAGAACAGAGAGAACACAGACAGGTCACCCCCGGGGCAAACCGAGGGCCTGCTCTTTCAGACTGTGAAGCAGCAACCAGCCCAAGTACAAACTCAGAAGATAAAAGCACACGTGGGCATGACTAAGGGGTGTGCACCGTGCTCTGCGCAGAAAAGTTCTAACAGAACGATGCCTTGTCGCCACTGCTCGGAGCTGCAGCAGTCTGGCCACTGCGGCCACTCTCCCTGTGCTGCTGGCCATCAGCCAAAATGACCCGCTCCTGTCACTCCTGCTTCCTGCTACCCTTGGAAGCAGGGCCACAACCCCAAAGACCAGTGACAGAGGCAAAAGTTCTAGAGAACCACAAATGGAATGACCGGACCTGAAGTCTCCATAGAGAGCCAGGCCCTCACGGTGGCTGAGATTCATAGATGAAGGGCTGAGACCACCATTCCTAGCTCACAAAGCCAGGTCCTCCAACCCTGGAGCAGCCCTTCAGTCTCTCTGCCTGTGTCCTGCATGTTTTAGCCGCTGCACAGGGACCTGGCAGCTTAGAGCTTCCAACAGATGAGGAAGAGGCCCACATGGGCCTGCAGCCTCCTCTGACCCTCACGCATAGAGCTCCTGGATCCAAGGAGGGATGGTTCTTGGAAGGAACTGAGGGGAGCAAAGTGAACTGGTGAGTCAGGGCGGAAATATCCACAGCCAGGAGAGGGGGGCAGGTGGAGAATCCAGGGGCCTCAGAGACGCCTGCTGCTCTCTATTGACAGCCTGCCTGCCTGAGAAGCACAGTCAGGGTCGTTGTCATCCTGCTTCTCAAACAGGAAGCTCAGATGAGAAGCGCCAGTAGGTAGCCCAGGCCACCCAAAGGCAGTGCTGGGGCCACAATCTGCAGCTCCTGATATCCAGCTCAGACCACACCTCTTTGGTGGACTGCCAGGGAGTCAGATACCCACTTCTGAGAAGAGGAGAGAGAGAGGAAGGGGCGTGGGCCTTGGAGGCCTGGACACTGCCTCACCCGTGGGCAGGGAGGGTGGTGGCCAGGTGGCCCTGGAGCCTGAGTGACCCTGGGCCCTCTCCTCCTGACCCCCTTAGCTCCCAGGAAGCCTACAGGAAGGAGAACCACCACTGTTAACCCTATAGATCACTTGGGTCTCAGAAAAGCTCCTGCCCACAGCAGAAAATAGTTCTGCCGTGTGGCCTTGATTTTATAAGAGACAGACAGCAGCCAGAATAAATCACCAGGAGAGTGAAAAAGAGAACTTATTTATGTCTCTCAGAAATCAGACCGTGAGCTCTATTTTCAATGAACGTTTAGGGGGAAAACTACAGCACTAGTGAGAGAATGTGAGCTTTGAATACACACAAAGTGGTCACCCGATGGCATGAATGCCAAGATGCCTTTGGAAACAATGGTTTTCTGAACATGAATAGGGCGTTTAGAAGACTTGGGAAAGAAACAACTTTGATACCCATCTTCATCACTGGCTGGAAATTGCCTTATAACAACCTCAACATCAAGTGCAAGACAGGACAGAAGACCTAAAGAAAACCTGAGAAGGCGGGGCTAAGAGCCCTGGAGATGAGAGGAAGGGGTCTTACACAGGTACACACACATGCGTATGCAAAACGCTGCCTTCGGTGGCAGTGGCAGCAGTTTTTAAACAAATTACACAGTCGGTGGATACAAAGGAGACAAGAGAAAGATCAATACATGTTGTAACAGTCCAACCGGGCACCACGTGGAAGTCTCAGGCAGGTTTAGGGAGAGCAAAGAAAGGGCACACAGCTCTGTGACAGGATGCCAGGGGACAGCCCAGCACTGGCCCTGGGATTCTCGGTGGCAAGAGGCAGAGACCTGGGATGACGTGAGGGTATCTCCACTCACACCTCCTCTGCAGAGCCCTACATGAGAGGCAGCACGGGCCAGGTCTAGCAGAGCAGGCTCCCACCCCTTGGGCTCCTCTCTACCCCTGAATGTGAGGACAGCCAAACAGTGAAGGACATGCCACTGCTAAGACTGGAAGCTCCCCATACGGGACAGAAATCCATACCCACCGGTGCGGGGTTTTGACCCTTTCATTGCCTTAGACCCCACAAGAATCTGGTAAAAGCCCTCTCTTTGGAAAAATGCCTGCACACAAAGACCCGTGCACACAACTCCAGGGTCTGTGAGCCCACCAGAACCCACCTACAGTTTGCAGGTTTCTTCCCATTTCTCCATGACCACCTCCTCTTGCCCTCAGAGCTCGACCAGGAACTTACACAACCAAATGCACAAAAGCCCTCTGCAGTGGGTAAAATGGTGGCCCCTAAAGAGATATATCCACATCCTAACACCCAGAACTCATGAATGTGCCTTATTTGGAAACAAGGCCTTTGCAGATGTAATTAAGGATCTTGAGATGAGGTCATCCTGGATTACATGGTAGCCCCTAAATTCAAAGACAAGTAGCCTTATAAGAGACAAAAGAGGATAGACACAAACACACAGGAAGCAGGGAGGCAGAGACTGGAGGGAGCAGGCCACAAGCCCAGGGACACCTGGAGCCCCCAAAAGCTGGAAGAGGCAAGACAGGCTCCTCCCCTAGACCTCTGGAGGGAATGCAGCCCCACCAACACCATCATTAGGGGCTTCTAGCCTCCAGAGGGTGAGAGAATAAACCTTGTGGGTTTAAGCCTCAGCAGGGCCCTGCGGGAAGGGTGGATGGATTTGGAGCCCGAGGCCCGGCCAAAGCAAACTCACTTCAGGTCGTACTCGTTGGGGTTGAAGTCCTGCCGATGGCACGTGTCCTCCAGGACCTAGGGGTGAGATGAGGGCATGAGCCACTGTATCTGGCCTGGTGGGCCCCGGCGGGGGTAGGCAAGTACCACTGAGGCAGCCAAGGGTACAGAGTCCACCTCTTGGAGCGCCGGTCGGCTCTGTAGGACTAAGCCTAATACAAGCCAGGTGATGGACCGTCCACTCAACAGCTCCACACGCCTCACCTGCAAATCCTGCTCACTCACCTCCTCCTCACTGGGCCTGCTTTGTCAACCCAGCTCTGTGGGACCCAACAAACCGGGTCCCCAACAAACCCGTCACCACAGACATCTTCCTACACTCGGGGAGCCCCCCCCCCACAGAGAATAAAGTTCAAACTCCACAGAGAGCCAGCTCGAGTGGGTCCTAGGTGCCCCCCTGGGCGGGAGCCCCAGTCCCTACCCTGCACACACTGAGTTACCATTCATCGTCTCAGCCCCCTGCACCACCGTGTATGTGCACCGTCCCCTACACATCAGGGCCCAACAAGCATTTCCAACGTAATGCAATCGACATCCGCCAGCTGCCCGGTGAAGCGCTGCGAGTGACTCAGCACACCCGGCCACAGCACACCGAGACGAAGGGCGACCCCAGGGTGGGGACAAGGTTCGGGGGCCCTCGGAGGCGGTCTCGGAGCACCGCAAGCTCGGGTGGGGGTGGCAGAGGCCGCGACCCCCGCCAGTCCCTGAGTGCGGCGCCCCCGCCCCCATGGACTGCCGCCCGCCGCCCGCCCGCGGCCGCACCTGCAGTAGCACTGTGCTCGGCGTCACCTTCACCGTGTGGCGCCGCCCGTTCGGGGCCAGCACTGACACCGCAGAGCCCCCGCTGCCCGCCGGGGCCGCCATCTTCTGCTCACGTGACCCGCCGCCGCCCGCCCAGCGTCAAACTTTATCCGCAACAGCCGGACGCACAGCCTCGCGGCCTCGGGGGCGGGCCCTGGGGAGGGGCGGGGCCAGCGCGCCTCCGGGCCCGCCCCTGCCTGGCCACGCCCCCGGTGCTTTCGCGGGGCCCGGGAGCGCGCCCGACGTTAGATAGGCGCGGTCACTCCAGCGCGGCCACGTGGCCCCGGTTCTGGGCCGGCGGTGCGGGCAGCGAGTGCGCCTAGGCCTCGGCACCCTGTCCTCGCCGGCCCGTTCTGGGTCCCACTGCCCCCCTTCCTGCCCCCTGTGGTCCCGAGGGGTAGGGTCAGGCCCGGTACCCCCGCGGAGTGAATGCCTGCCGGCCGTGGGGTGATGTCAAGGTCAGGGAGCAGCTGCCAGGAAAGGCCGGCCAGAAACTCCAAACCAGAGAGCAGATTCAATGAAAGTCCGTGACGAGCATTCTGCCTGTCCGTGCTCTCACTCTGCCAGCAGCTAAACTCTGTGACAAAACTTGTGCCCCAATTCTACCTGCCCAAGTCAGTGGAACGGCCGGGAGGAGGGGCGTGTGGGATCCTGCCACCCCTCAGGTGTGGGTGCTGTCACGCCTTCGTGTAGCTGACACATCTGTCTCACAAGCAGCTTCATACTGACAAACAGACGACTGCATGCTTATGCGAGAAAACGGGAAAGCCTCAGGGTAGCCACAGCTCCACGGCCACCTCTCACAGTTTGCCTCACATTCCAGAGGGCCTGTCTAGCACACTATGCAACCTCAGTGCCTCACCGAGCCACACACACTTCCTGGTCACCATCGGCCAGTCCCCTCTCCTGAGGCCGGGGAACACCACAGGACACAGGACAGAGAAGTTTTCTGGCTCAGAGACAGCTTCTGCTGACCTGCCCCACCCCCTCCTACCTGCTCACATGGGTCTCATCATCTACGTGTAGCCGAGTACACGAGGTCTTGGAGCAGACACGTGTGGGGCATTTGTGACCACTGCCTGCAAGCTCTCAAACCCACCCTTCAGCCCAGCAGGGGCCCACATGCAGTTCTGTGGCAGCTAGGCCCCAAGTTGCCCCCAACCTGGCCTCTTCAGCACTGTGGGGTTTCCTCAGAGCCTCATCTGCACTGGGACAGGCCTTTCGTGCCTGCTCACTTGTTTACTGGCCGTCCCAGGGCAGCCCCGTCTGTCTGGCCCTCTGCCGGCAGGCACGCAGAGCAGAGCCTGGCACGGGGTGGGTGCTCTGCAAACATCTGTGAGAGGAATGACTATCGATGGGGGGACAAACGAATGCACAGTCCCCCCACATGTGCCTTCTCCTCCTTCTGCTGCCACTCACCTGGCAGGGGCAGGGTGCCCCAGGTTCAGTGGGGTCTGTGTCCTGACACTGGCACTAGGAGGTGGGAAAGGCAGAGCAGACCCGCCTCCCTTAGTGGCCTGGCTGGGCCAGACCTGGTGAAGACCAAGCAGGACAGACCAGACCCCATGAAGCTTCCATGAAGCAAGCTCCAGAGCCGACCCCTGGATGCTTGACCTCAGCTTGAGAAGCCTCCAGAGGCTAGAAATGCCCAACAGAGGCTCCCCTGGTACAGGGGATTATTTCAGGCTGGAGGCAAAAATTCCAGGTTAACACACCAACTCCACACCACAGCAGGAAGGACCCTCACCTGCCCCATGGCAAGTTTGCCATAGATTAGGACCCACACACCTGGCCCTCCATTTGCTCTGTGGGGAGGCTGCCTCCTCGTGCTTACCTTCCTCAGTTCCTCACTGCACTTTGGCACCTTCCCTCAAGCCCCATCACCTCCTGCGGGTGGTCCAGGCACAGCCTTAAGGGTGTGATCACAGCAGAGGTAACAGAGATGACTGTAGGGTCAAAGATCATCTTTGGGGGACTTCCCTGGTGGCCCAGTGGTAAAGAATCCGCCTTACACTGCAGGGGATACGGGTTTGATCCCTGGTCAGGGAACTAAGAACCCACATGCTGCGGGGCAACTAAGTCTGCGTGCCACAACGACTGAGCTCGTGAGCCCAGAGCCCACGTGCCCTGGAGCCCTCACACCACAACTAGAGAAGAGAAATCCTGAACACCACAACTAGAGAGAAGCCCACGTGCTGCAGTGAAAGATCCCACGTGCTGCAACTAAGACCCGATGCAGCCAAAAAATAAATAAATCTTTAGGAAAAAAAAAATCATCTCCGAGAGGCATTCAAGGCCCCAAAGGGGAGCCTCTTCTTCATGCTCATAGTTCAGCCTCTCTCTGCAGCTCATATTTTTCTTTCCAAATTTGCCATTTTAAAAAATGACAGATCTGTACATTAACTTTCACAGCAGCTTTATCTAATAGTCAAAAGCTGGAATGAACCTGGATGGCCTTCAACAGGTTGAGCAGTTAAACAATGTGGCACATCCACACATGGAACACTGCTCAGCAATCAAGAGAATGAACTACTGACACCGCAGCCCGGGTGAGTCTCCAGGGAAACATGCTGAGTGAAAAGAGCTGGTCCCCAAAGATTGCATACTGTACCATTCCATTTATATAGCATTATGGAAATGACAGCATTTGCCTTTTCTCTCTGCATTAATATATGCATATGTATTTATATTTGAAAGTAAATTGATGATATCCAGGCACTTTCCCCCCAAATAATGCGGCAGCTCCTCCTAAGAACCAGGACCTTCTCCTTTTTAATCACAACCCATCACCACACCCAACAACCATGGATATAATGATATTGTCTAATACACAGCCCACTTTAGACTTTCCCTTGTCCCCAAATGGTCCTTTATAGCTGGTTGTCACATTGCATTTTGTTGTTGGGTCTGTTTACACTCCTTTAATCTACCACAGTCCTGGGAATTCCCTGGCAGTCCAGTAGTTAGGACTCTGCACTTGCGCTGCTGAGGGCATGGGTTCGATTCCTGGTTGGGGAAATAAGATCCTGCAAGCTGTGTGGTGAGGCCAGAAAAACAAACAAACAAAAAAACAAAAAAAACACCCTACCACAGTCCCTCTATTTTTTGTTTCGTTTTAATTTTTCATGACATTTGCATTTTTTAGAGCCCAAGGCTGGATCTGCCTGATCTTTTCCTGGAGTCAAACATTCAGTGCAGTGAGGCAGCATAGATGACAGCCCCCCAGGAGGTCCAGGATATCAGTTTGTCCCATTAGTGGGGACGTGCAGACTGAACCTCCATGTTCCAGGTCCCGTGTAGACTGAATAAGCTATGTGTGGGGTAATTCTTTGAGAGCACAGATATGATGTTTTTCCAAGAACCATTTACCCAGTGGTTTTAGCATCAGTTGATGGTCCTTGCCCGAATCCATCATTACATTTATGGTGCAAAATCACAATGTTCCAACTTTATCATTTCTCTACATTTAATAGGCATTTTTTGGTCAAGAATTTTTTTAAATTCCTAAATATTAATAGGAACTCATGAATTCTTTTTCTTCATCCAGTTATTCTTTCTGATGCTCAAATTTGATCCAAATTTGGCCAGTGAGACACACACTCCCTTTAAGCTGGCTCCTGTGCTCCCTTGTGCGGGGGGGCAGTGACTTTTTATTTTCATATTATTTCAAACATAGAAGTTGCAAGAACAGCAAAAGGAACTCCTGCATACCTCTTAGACAGACTCTCCAGTTGTTTACATGTTCGCCCATTTGCTTCATCATCATCATCTCTCTCTCTCTCCATATATATGTATATATGTTCTGAACCACCTGAGAGTAAGTGGAGACATTGTACACCTCTGCCACTAAATACTTCAGTGTGTATTTCTCAAGAGCAAGACCACTCGCTTACTTCACCACCGAACTGTGATAACAACATTGGGAGATCTGTCATTGATACCACACTCCGAGCTACTCTGCAGTCACCTGTAGCACTCACATCTTTCCTGCATCTTTTCGATGTTTGTGTTGTTCTCTGAGCACTTCATCACTTCAGCCACAAGGAAGTATTTTAGGCTCACCCAGGATGTCCCTGCCCCAGCCCTGAAGGCCATTTCTCAAGGAAGCCCTAGTCCCTTTTTGAGGGGAATGAGATTTAGAAGCCGAGGTCTGGAGCTGAGCATGTTCATTGCTACTGGTGTGCCTCTGCTTTGTAGGCCCTCTTAGGGGACAGAACTAGCATCCTGGATTCACCAGCCCTCAGTCTTCCTCTTCTTCCCTCCTTCCATATTTATATTTGGCTGAATTGTATGAAATTGCCAGTATTCAACCATTTTCAATCTACAAAAAAAGGCACAACCAAATATCCCTTTATCCACAGTGAGAACCCTTGTTTTCAGCAGCATCAATGTACTTATTAATTTGCTCTGTTCCAAAATACCCTTCAGGGACTTCCCTGGTGGTCCAGTGGTTAAGACGCTGCACTCCCAATAGAGGGGGCCCGGGTTTGATCCCTGGTCAGGGAACTAGCTCCCCCGCATGCATGCTGCAACTAAAAGATCCCACATGCTGCAACGAAGATTCCCACATGCTGCAGCTAAGACCCAGCGCAGCCAAATAAATAAATAAGTATTAAAAAAACAACAACCCTCCAAATAGCTTTGGAATTACTACAACAATACTGCTAGTAACCAGACCTTCTAAGGACATCTCAAGATTTCTTTGTAGTTATTTTTGTCCTCAGAATATATCGCACAAAAGAAATACAGAGTATTGTGTTCAAAATTATTTGAATTAATTCTTTTGTGTGTGTGTGTGTGTGTGTGTGTGGTTATGTTAATTGGATACACATGTTCATTTATTACTGCATTTTAGGGTCTTTTTCACTCTTTTTTGATTTAATGTTATATTTTGATTATGAAAAATATTTATTTATTATTTGATTTGAATATTATTTGATTCAAAAGTTATAAGTATAAAATGACACATAGCCAGAAAAGGGTCCTCCTTCATCCACTCCCACTCACCCCCATAAGAACTAATCTTCTGGTTCTGGGGTAGCTTTCCTGCCTTTTTGCAAAGA